TTTACTTATAATTTGGTTGCATAACTTTAATTAAATTAACGTAATCAACGTGAACTATACAAATTTAGTAATCAACTTAAAACTTAAAGTGTCTTCAGTTTTTATTCAATTATTTAATAAGCACACTTGATAATTACATCATTTAAAATTGTTTCTACATTTCTGTTAATTACGATTTTTTTTGTAATAAATTAAATAAAAAAATTAGTTGCTTGAAGTTGCAATGTCTTCACTTTTCATTCAATTATTCAATAACCACGTTTGATAATTACATCATCTAATTTGTGAATTAAACACAAAACTATGTTCTTTCAAGATTTCCATTGTTTACGATTATCTTGTTATAATAATAGTTAATAAATTTGTTAATTTAGTAATAAAATTATTGCTTGTTTCTTCACTCTTTATTCAATTACTTAATAAACACTATTGATAATTAGATTATCTAATTTGTGAATTAAACACAAAACTATGGTCTTTCCAATAAGCCAATTTTTATATTTCTATTAATTACGATTTTCTTGTAATAAATTCTTAAAAAAAAGTACAAAAATTAGTGCTTGAAGTTGCAGTGTTTTCACTTTTTATTCAATTATTCAATAACCACGTTTGTTAATTACATCATCTAATTTGTGAATTAAACACAAAACTATGGTCTTTCCAATGAGCCAATTTCTAAATTTCTGTTATTTACGATTTTCTTGTAATAAAATATTAAATTTAGTAATAAAATTATTGTTTCAATTTGTAGTGCCTTTACTTTTTATTCGATTACTTAATAACCACATTTGATAATTACATCATCGAATTTGTGAATTAAACACAAAACTATGGTCATTCCAATGAGCCCATTTCAAGATTTCCATTGTTTACGAGTATCTTGTTATAATAATAGTTAATAAATTTGTTAATTTACTAATAAAATTATTGCTTGTTTCTTCACTTTTTATACAATTACTTAATAAAAACTATTAATAATTACATCATCGAATTAAAGATAAAACTGTAGCCTTTCCACTAGCCCTATTTCTAGATTTCTGTTGTTTACTACAATTTTAGTAATCAAAATGATTTACAATTAGATAATTAATTATACAAAATCAAAATTTTTCTAATAATGCTACTCGCAACTAAATTAACAAATCAATAATTGTAAAGAGAATCTTCAGGTCTTCGAACTTTCATCAAACATTTTTTCTTTTTTTCTCTTTATCTATCTACTACAGGAGGGTGAACTTTCGCTAATTCGTTCTTAGTTTGATTCTAATTCATTACGTTGCAAATTTTTTTTCTCTCTATTTCTTCTTCGCTCGCGAAAGAATGTTTGAAACATTGAAAGATCGCATTTCTCTCTCGAACTTCTCCAAAGAACCCTCCACCCTTCGCGGTGCCACTCTTTTTCGGTGCGACTCGAGCGCGCGCCGTGTGTCCTTGATTAATGACAGAACTTAATTAAAAGTAAAACGGGAGACCTTCGCCCCCCCCTTTCCCAACGCCACCGCCTCCCGTTTTCGTTCATTTTTTTTTCCACCGCCTCCTCCTCCTCCTCCAAACATTCGAATACGTTATTTATTGTCGCCAATTTTATTTATTCATTTCATTTTTGTTTTGTTCACATAACACATCGACTACTACTATTATTTGCTTACAAAAGCGCAAATATAGTTCGGATAAGGATTGGAGGTAATCCCGTGGGAATCGGACAGGTAGATTCGGATGCGCGCGTGGCTTCCGCGCCACGTGTCATCCCTTTATCTACACTTTTTTTTTCTCTCTACATATACATTTTGTATTGCGTCGTCGTCGTCGTCTGCACGCGTCCCCCGATTAAATCCTACTTACACACTTCCATGCGCACTCTTTTCTACTCGTTACTCGTCGCGTTCCATTCACATACAGAAAAAAAAAATAATAAAAGTTATACACTTCGATATCATCCACCTGAACGTGCGCCTCCAATTGCTCCCACTTGACTGAAGAGCACGCTTTTTCCGTTCTTTCTCTCCCCAATTTTATTACATTATATTATATTTTTTTGATTATTTGTATCACTTCTCTCGCACAGCTCACTCTTGTACTTTTGTGAAAAGAAGAAATTTCATACAGTGTTTGCAAGCAATCTATACATTAAATTTTAATATTCGCATTCACAATTTTCACAATATTCAATGTTACACTTCTTCAATTACAAAATTTAATAAACCAATCGATTTCTATACTAATAATTAACACAGAAAGTCTAGAAATTACAAATTTGGACTAAATATTTAATAAGTACATATACACTTTGCCAATTAGTAAATATCAACATCAAAATTACAATTTTCTCTTCTAAATTAAAAGAATTTAGATTATTTATGTAAATTTATGAATTAACACGTGTATTTTGTAATTAATTACAAAAAAAAAGTAAACATTTCTTACTTAATTTTCTAATTGATTTTTATTTTAAATATTCTCATTTCAATTGGAAGAACGTTGATTATTTATGTCAGTTTATGAATTAACAAGTGTATTTTGTAATTAATTATAAAAAAAAGTAAACATTTCTACTTAATTTTCTAATTAATTTTTTTTTAAACTAAAATTTTCTAATTGATTTTTTTGAAATTTTCTCATTTCAATTGGAAGAATTTGGATTAATTATATCAATTTATGAATTAACAAGTAATATTTAAAGTGTATTTTGTAATTAATAAACTACAAGAGAAAAAGTAAACATTTCTTACATAATTTCTAATTGATATTTGAAACTAAAATTTTCTATTAATTTTTTTTTTATTTTCTCATTTCAATTGAAAGAATGTTGATTAATTATATAAATTTATGAATTAACAAGTAATATTTAAAGTGTATTTTGTAATTAATGAACTACAAGAGAAAAAGTAAACATTTCTTACTTAATTTTCCAATTGATAATTTTTTGAAACTAAAATTTTCTAATATATTTTTTTGAAATTTTCGCATTTAAATTGGAAGAATGTTGATTAATTATATCAATTTTTGAATTAACAAGTAATATTTAAAGTGTATTTTGTAATTAATGAACTACAAGAGAAAAAGTAAACATTTCTTACTTAATTTTCCAATTGATAATTTTTTGAAACTAAAATTTTCTAATTGATTTTTTTGAAATTTTCTGATTTAAATTGGAAAAATGTTGATTAATTATATCAATTTATGAATTAACAAGTAATATTTAAAGTGTATTTTATAATTAATGAACTACAAGAAAAAAAGTAAACATTTCTTACTTAATTTTCCAATTGATAATTTTTTGAAACTAAAATTTTCTAATATATTTTTTTGATATTTTCGCATTTAAATTGGAAGAATGTTGATTAATTATATCAATTTATGAATTAACAAGTAATATTTAAAGTGTATTTTGTAATTAATAAACTACAAGAGAAAAAGTAAATATTTCTTACTTAATTTTCTAATTGATATTTTTTTTAAACTAACATTTTCTAATTGATTTTTATTTTAAATATTCTCATTTCAATTGGAAGAACGTTGATTATTTATGTCATTTTATGAATTAACAAGTGTATTTTGCAATTAATTATAAAAAAAAGTAAACATTTCTACTTAATTTTCTAATTATTTGTTTTTAAACTAAAATTTTCTAATTAATTTTGTTTTGAAATTTTCCCATTTCAATTGGAAGAATGTTGAATAATTATATCAATTTATGAATTAACAAGTAATATTTAAAGTGTATTTGGTAATTAATGAACTACAAGAAAAAAGTAAACATTTCTTACTTAATTTTCTAATTGATAATTTTTTTGAAACTAAAATTTTCTAATTGATTTTTTTTTTATTTTCTCATTTAAATTGGAAGAATGTTGATTAATTATATCAATTTATGAATTAAGAAATAATATTTAAAGTGTATTTTGTAATTAATAAACTACAAGAGAAAAAGTAAACATTTCTTATTTAATTTTCTAATTGATAATTTTTTGAAACTAAAATTTTTCAATCAATTTTTTGAAATTTTCTCATAAATTAAACGAATGTTGATTAATTATGTAAATTTATGAAATAACAAGTAATATTTTGTAATTATCTTCAGTCTATAATTATCTCATAATTGTTGATAACATAAATTCAATATAAACAACATTTTCGTACAACATTTACAAATCTATTTGCACTCAATTTTATAATTGTTTTGCTACAAAATCAATAATTTTTTTTTACCAAATTAGAACATTTTATTAAATTTGTAAAAAATTTGAAAAAATGAACATTTTGTACTTAATTTTCAATTCTTAATTTTGAAAATTTTCGTATTACGAAATCAATACTTTTTAAACAAAATTTATATGAAATTATTTCTACATTTAATTATCTCTATGCAATGTTATCAAACAAACTAGTTTTTATACAATAAGTGTTACATCAGCGATATCAATGATTGAAAACAGTTTTGACACAGATTTAATGAAATTTTCAAACAAAAAATTTATTAAATGTTTCCTTGAATTTAAAATAAATGAAATTAATGAAATAAGAAAATGATAATTATTCCAATTAACGTAAATAAACATATTTAAAATAATTAAAAGCAAAGTTAAACTAAAAAAAAGTAGTAATTAGTAGAAGCGACGTTTTTCGTTATTGCATCACGAATTGCGACTGAGTCTAAAAATACATTTCGAACAGCGATAAAAACATGTTTTAATTGCTAATAAGTGGAAATGTGGAAATTCCTTCGATCGAATCTATTGATTCTTCTGCTAAAACTAAACCGGGACGTCGAGATGCGTCGCAAAAAAAGAAAGAGAGAGATGAAGAGTTGTTGTTGTTGTGTAATGAGTGTGTGCGTGTGTTGGAAGAGGACGGAACGATCGGACCTTGCGCCTGATCCACCGATAACCTTGCCCGCTATAATCTAAACCTCATTATTTTTGCGGGCGTATGTTTTCGCCTTACAATTTTTGTTGTTTTTTCTTCTGCGTTTCGTTTGTATTTTCGCGTTTAAATACAATTCGACTGCCGGACAAACGACAATCCAAATCCAAATTTCCTATCGAGTGTGCGTGTGTGTGTGGAAACAATTGAGAAAGATGCGTTTAGGATTGATTGCTTTGATCGCTTTGTTTGTCGTTGTTTCGACAGGTGAGTTGATCGTTGAACAATTCGACATAAAATGAAATTTAAAATTGATTACAAAAAGTGTTACATTATTGATTCATTCAATTATTGTTATTTAGAACTTTCGAATTTAAGATTTGTTCTATGTCTAATTGTTTAGGTAATTTATTGAATTCTACAGTAAATGTGTTTTTTAAATTCTTGATTACGATTTTATCAAAACTATTTTCATATTAAATCATATCAAAAATTGATCATTTCTTTAAAACAAAAACTTGAAAAGTTCTAAAAATTTACTCAAATTCCTTAAACAAAAACCTATTGTATTATAGATAAAACATTCTAAATATGAACTTTAGTTAATTCTACTAAATTTACTTTAATTATTTTAAATTATGAAAATTTTGATACAAAATTTTCTCGAAAAAAGAGACAAATACAAATTTTGTAAATTATCTATAGTCAAATTTAATAATTTTGCCTTAAATTAATCATTTTTTTGAAAAACTGTTGTAATTTTCTGGAATTAATTGAAGAATCATGAATACTTTGAACGATGTTAATCTATAAAATCTAAATTTGTACACAAATTACGTAATGTGTATATACGCAAGTAACTTGTCAAGTAAAGCAATTAATGAGACAAGTTATTAGTAGTTGCGTTTTTGGCAAGTGTTTATATAAATCTAAAAATAATTCAACAAGTAAATATACTTGACACATTACTTGGCAAGTAAGTATTTCGAATTGAGTTACTTCAATCCATCGTTTTTGAATACAAATAAACAAACGTTTCAATGTAATTAACTCGTGTTACGACTTGGACAATTTGTTAAATAATTACTGCTGCAATTATTTTTTTTTTTTAATTTTCTCATTTAATTTTGAAGAATGTTGATTATATAATTGTTTAGGTAATTTGTTGATTTCTACAGTAAATGTGTTTTTTAAATTCTTGATTACGATTTTATCAAAACTATTTTCGTATTAAATCATATCAAAAATTGATCATTTCTTTAAGAAAAAACAAACTTGAAAAGTAGTAATTTACTCAAATTCCTTAAACAAAAACATATTGTATTATAGATAAAATATTCTAAATATGAACTTTAGTTGATTCTACTAAATGTTAATTTAATTATTTGAAATTATGAAAATTTTTGTTCTTGATACAAAATTTTCTCGAAAAAAGAGACAAATACAAATTTTGTAAATTATGTCAAATTTAATAATTTTGCCTTAAATTAATCATTTTTTTGAAATTTTGTTGTAATTTTCTGGAATTAATTGAAGAATCATGAATACTTTGAACCATGTTAATCTATAAAATCTAAATTTGTACACAAATTACGTAATGTGTATATACGCAAGTAACTTGTCAAGTAAAGCAAGTAATAAGACAAGTTATTAGTAGTTGCATATTTGGCAAGTGTTTATATAAATCTAAAAATAATTCAACAAGTAAATATACTTGACACATTACTTGGCAAGTAAGTATTTCGAATTGAGTTACTTCAATCCATCGTTTTTGAATACAAATAAACAAACGTTTCAATGTAATTAACTCGAGTTACGACTTGGACAATTTGTTAAATAATTACTGGGATAATTTTTTTTTTTTTAATTTTCTCATTTAATTTTGAAGAATGTTGATTAATTATATAATTTTTTAGGTAATTTGTTGATTTCTACAGTAAATGTGTTTTTTAAATTCATGATTACGATTTTATCAAAACTATTTTCATATTAAATCATATCAATAATTGATAATTTCTTAAAAAAAAAACAACTTCAAAAGTAGTTCTAAAAATTTACTAAAATTCCTTAAAGAAAAACGTATTGTATTATAGATATAACATTCTAAATATAAACTTTAGTTGATTCTACTAAATTTACTTTAATTATTTTAAATTAT